CAGTATAAAAAGACAGTGGTGCAGATGAGAACTCACTGGGGCCATGCAGCAGGATTCCATGGAAATATCCATCACAGGACACTCTGGACATACCCTAACCACCTCCATACTCCCTTGCTGTCAGCAAGGGGCTGGGCTCTTCCCTCAAGATGCACTGTCTCCTTCGCAAACGCAGCATGAACACAGACTAGAGACAGCGTTGAAATTCCCTTCAATTCCTCCCTACTCTGTAACAGGCCAAGACTACAAAAACAGCTGGTACACAGGTTATGGGCTACAAAGAAATTGCTAATTCAGTTTTTAAGTCATTTCTTTCAACACTGAGAAAGGCTGGCTGCCTCTATGACTCTAATACTCCTAAAAAGGCTTGTATGATGAGAAACAAATTCTAGATTCAAGATAAAGAGTTCTCTTTTATAACTGAATATTTGGAACTTCATTCCTGATTCTCACTTGCCTCCATTTATTTGTAAATATAAGAATTCCCCTTCTTTCTTTGTGGGGATATTGTGATTCATGATATTATGTTAAGTATCTAGCCCTGGCACAAAATAGACAATAAATGATAGCTGTTTTTATTCTCAGATTCCTTCCTTGGTAGATGATCCTGGGATGTTGTTGCTACTGAAGATATAAACCCAAACTCAATTTAGAATCCTAGATTATCTAAATTCTGCACTTAATTATCTAAAAAATCCAACTACCTGGAACAAAGATGAATAAGGGACACAGAGGCAACACGAGTCACTTAACACCCTTGTCCCAGCTTTATGAGGGTGAAAGTCAATTATGCTGGTTTAATCAGCACAAGATCTTTGGGTTCATAAAGTAATTCATAAAGCTGCAAAGAAGTCATCTCTATACACAACAAAGAACTGGCAGATATATTACAAGGGGAAAGGACTTCAGAGAGATTGTTGTTCTTAGTGTTCAAACAATGACATACAGTGTAACTTTTTTTGTACTGACATATACTGGCTTCACCAGAAATTCTGGGCAACTGGAGGGAATGGACTTATATAAAATTTATCTTTATAGCCATAACATCTTAAATGGTTTCCAACAAACACGTAGTTTGATCTATATCATACTTGTCTCAACAGAGTTCTGAATAAGTCAGACAAAGGAAGTTAACTATCCCAACTGCTGCAAGAGCATAACTTTGAACAGAATCAGCAGCTATCAGAGAAGTACAAAGTGTAACAAGAACTTGGTCCCATACCCTCCCATCGGACACTCAGAATTCTTATATTTCTCCAATCTAGTAAAAGAATAAAAATTCATCTGTAGTAATTCATTAATTTTTAAGTTAGGAGTTTGGACAGCCAGAAAATTACTATGCTAGTTTATACAATAAAGATGACATAGTCCTAACAAGTTCAAGTTCACTCTTCTAGGAATATGGACATTTTTAAACAAAAGACAAAAATCAGCTGAAGATTTAAAGCAAAACAACTCAAACTGTCCAGCAGCCACAAACCAATGCCTGCCTACACATGAGTTCTGTTCGAGCCGCACATTAATGCTTCTAAAAAATCAAATTTCAGCCCTGGCTGGTGGGGCTCAGAGGACTGAGTGCCAGCCTGTGGACCAAAAGGTTTCTGGTTTGATTCCCAGTCAAGGCACATGCCTAGCTCGTGGGCCAGACCCCCAGTTGTATGTGTGCGAGAGGCAACCTCACATTAATGTTTCTCTCCCTCTGTTTCTCCCTCCTTCCCCTCTGTCTCAAAAGAAATAAAATCTTTAAAAAAATTAAATTTTAACTGCCAGCACTTAAATTGGAAATTTCATATAAACTTTCTAAATCCTATTATCGAATGCCACTGTCTTGGGGGTGGTTATTAGATCTGATCAACAATGGGTACGCAGTCCCGACAAGATCACTTGAGCTGAAGCACTTGCCCTGAAGTCAGAGTTACCCCTTTAACTGGCCTGCGCTTTCCAACTGCTCCAATCACCACCCAGTACCACCATTCTGCAGATGGGGAATCAAAGCTGAGAAAGTCTGAAAACCACAATATATTTGTGAATATTATCGCTAACTCCAGGATTTTCACTCTTAACCATTCTGCAACTTGCCTTCCAAACAAAAGGTAGTTAGTGTTAAAAGAGGTACTTCCAAGTCTATACATGAACGTTCACTGCAGCCTACAATCTGGAAGCAACTCAAATATCCATCATATTAAGTAAAAACACCTTGTTAAATAAAAGAAGTCAGAGGCGAAAGACAACACATTCTTGGCCGCATTTATATGAAATTCCAGAGAAGACACAACTGGAGAGAAAGACGGTAAATCAGCACTTGTGGTCAGGGGTGAAGGGGCATGAAGGAGCTTTTTGTGCCGAGGGACATGTTCCACAGCATGACTGCAGAGGTGACTGGAAGACGGCACGAATTTGCCAAAACTAAAAATCAAGTGAATTTTATGTAAATTAAATCTCAATAAAGCTGATTTTAAAATGAGGTCTCTACAAAATACTATAAAACTGCAAAAGAGAGTACTGTATCTCCACCTAGGAGAGTTTAGGAAAGCCGCAGGAAAAGGTGAGATTTGAATTAGATCTCATCACAGAACAATTTTAAGGTGCAAAAGAAGTAGGAAACTCACGAGATAAGTAGTCATACTCTGCACTGCAGCCTAGGAGAAGTGAATACAAAGGGAAATGTTTCATAAAAGGAAATTCAATGAGATGAATATTGAGTACTTGGACAGGTATCAAAGACGAGTTGATCTTACAAGATTTCCCAAGAGGGAATCAATTCAGACATACATTACTGTTCATATGAAAAATAAGCAGATGGTGTAAAATAATTTTTATTTTCTTTTGTTCTTAAATAAAGCAAAAGGAAAAGTCAAAAAAGAGAAAAACCCAAAGGACGTAAAAGTAGGAATAGAGGCAAGGGGGTGAAATGAAGACAGCAGACACACTGGGCCAGAATCAAAGGGACCTTGAAACGGACAGATTAGAAGAAAGAAGGGAGGTGCCTCAGATCTTGATGAGGGACGAAAAGTAAAACTAAAAACTAGGGAAAAAGAGACCAACCATCCAAAAGCCAGAGCTACAGAGAAGAGAGACCCAAGACCTGACAGCAGGCCCGGAGAACTCGAGACAAGAGGAAACAAGCGAGTTCTCCCCTCCGAAGTCTCACTAAGCAGTCTCTAACACGCCTGCCTCGGCCGGAGCCTTCTCCTACCCAACCTTGGCTCACACAGCTGGCGCACAGGTCACACTCCTTGGTGGGACTGGAATGCTTCCTTCACCGGTCTTCAAAACCCAGTTCGAATACTGCCTTTCCTGTGAAGCCTCTCCAACTTTCCCATGCATTGTTAGTAGTCCCTCTTCCTTATTTTCAGAACACGCTGTTCTAAATATTATCTTAATGTTGAACCGCAATGTCTGTCTCCTCTACTAGTCTACAGGCAACTCCAACAAAGGATTCAGTAATAAGAACAAAAGCCCTTACCAAAAAGCAGTTCAAAAATGTAAAGTGCCCTAACCAGTGTGGCTCAGGTGGTTGGGTGTCGTGCTGCAGAGCGAAGAGTTGCCGGTTCATTCCTGGTCAGGGCACACACCTGGGCTGCGGGTTCGGTCCCTGGTTGGGGCACGCACAAGAGGCAACCAATCGATGTTTTTCTTTCACATCCATTTTCTTTCTCTTCCTCCCTCCTCCCTTGTCTAACTATAAACAAATTAATTAATTTAAAAAAAGTAAAGTCCCTCTTCTTACCAACGCAAGTAGGATGCCAGAAGCCTTGCTGTTTCAAGGGATTCTAGGACAAATCATTTGAACAAGAGCATATCTGCCCTACCTTTTTAAAAAAACTAATTTGAGAGAGAGAGAGAGAAAGGGCCAGAGAGAAAGAGAAACATCGATTCGTTCCTTTATGTGCCTTTTATGGAGATGGAACCCACATCCTTGGCTTATCTGGACAATGCTCTAACCTTTAACCAACTGAGCTAACTGGCCAGGGCACTGCCCCACCTTTACTGAAGTTTGATTTCTGTAATGCTTTAAATTTCTCAGTGAAAAGCAAACACGTAATAGAGAAGAAAACAAATTACATCAGGAATAGCATATAGCAGTCAAAGGAGGAACTTCCTCCATAAAATAAAAGGAGCTCCTTAAACTCTCACAGACAGAAGATCTTGTACAACAGGAATCTGAAAATTGGAGCAGGATAAAAAGTCAGCAAGCTCCTGAAGTTTTCACGGGAAATTTAAAGTTAACAATACCCAAAGATAAGTAAGTGACAACGTGACTTTGTAACAAAAGATATAAAAGTGGCTTGGTGTTAAAAGGACAGAATGATAACACGATCAGAGTTGCTGAGAATTAGCAGGGAGATGACTAGTTTAGAAAGCTGTTTAGGGAGAAGAGTTCCAATACAGACTTTGGGGAAAAGGTCATGAACTGGTGAAAAAGCAAACCAGGCATCACTGGAGATGGAATGGGATGGTACTGCATTCACAAAGTACCACTGAAGTCACCCGCGTCACTTTCTCCCCAAGTCTAGCCCTCACCACCTAGGTGAATCAGAATTATTAGTAAGAATGACTTTACAGTGCTTTCCCCACAAAAGGTCCCTGGTATAGAGATGAACAATTATCTCGAACCACTAAGAAAGGAGATTCCACTCACATTTGCCAAACATCAGAGATCTAGTATGCAGAGTTAAAGACAAACCCAAAGGACAAAGGACAAGGTTGTTGTACCTGGAAGAAGTATTCAACAAGTTTAACTAACAGAAGTAATCTGAAAAAAAAAAAAAAAAAAGATAACAAAAGAATTCAAGGGATTTTTAGACATCATCAAAATAGCTTCTACATAAACTTTCTTAAAAGAAAGGGCCAATTTTTAAATAAAGGCTTTTTAGTGACTATTTGAGGAGATGGTGATTAATTCCTCCCCTCCAACCAAGAAAAGCCTAACGTCTGTACTAACAGACTGACTTTCATTACCTCCCAGATAAGCAGTTTGTTTTTTATTCCTTTTTAAAAAAAGTATGGAAAGCTTCACGAATTTGCGTGTCATCCTTGAGCAGGGGCTGCGCTAATCTTCTCTGTATCGCTCCAATCTGAGTACATGTGCTGCTGAAGTGAGCACCAGATAAGCAGTTTTTAACATCGTTTATTTAAACAGTTCAGGAGCACTAAAAATTGTCAGGCACAGTGTCAGGCACCGGGGATACAGAAATAGGACCAGGAGGACTCTGACTTTGAGTCCACTGTTGAATGGGTAGAAAAATATTGTAGACAGGGGCAAGTGCTAAAGAGATTAGTACTAAGAGGCAATAAGCTAGGAGAATCGAATTCAGCTTTGAGAAGTGGTTCCAATCAGCCTGAAGTATGTGCAGCCCCAAGTATTAGAGAGAAGACAACAATAAACAACTGCCCAGTATCTGTAAGATATAGAACATCATTAACCCCCACCATTACAAATTAAATAACTACATTATCCAGTCACCCAGCCAAACAGGTTAACTAGAACTAGAAATAAGGTTACAGACCACATAATGAAACAGTTTTAAAAGGTCAATATAGCCTTCTTTCTAAACTCTCAGATTTGCACCTATAATCCAGAAGCCCTATTCTTATCAACAAAACTGGCAAAATATCACATTAAAACAAAGCAGAATGCTACACGAGGAAAAAAGTAAGTATTTGTCTATGGATCTCTGCTTCAGCAGGCACTCAGCACCACTTGACATGTTCCAGAGAATGGGAGGGGCGGCATGCTGTATCCCTTTGAGTCTTGTTTAAAAAAGTATCCTATCCTATTCAGGTAAATCTACAAACATTACAGGCACTGGCATAATCAATGTGGCTTCCAAATTTAACTGTGACATATATATAGATGAGCTAAGTGTGTTGACTAGTTACTTGACTAACATCTCTTCAAGCAGCTATACATGGTCTTGTAAGGAATGATATGCTGAATGTACTTTTAAACCTCAGCTGGACTGTGCCCTTGTATACATGGAGGCTCCTAGGTATCGGATCTTAAAGCCAAAGGTTTTTCAATCAGAATGCACTTCTTAAATAGAACTGATATTCCAACATATGTTTATATGTTGGTTTTTTTTTTTTCAGGAAAACATCTATTCGCCAATGAAATAAAAAATACAGAGTACAGAGTCCTGTGCTCTAATTCTACAAATCCTTCAAGGCAGGAGATACGTACATTATGCAAGTGCTCAAATACTAGCACAAGTGCATGTTTATACATTCTGCAATATCTGAACATCTAAGTTCTCAGAGCCTGGTGACTAATGTCTTGAAACAGAGGCTGACAAATTATAGCCTTCGACCCCAGGCTGTTCTTGTAAATAAAGTTTTAGTAGAATATAGCCCCAAACACGTGGTCTATGGCTGTTTTCCTGCTACAGTATGCAGAGGTGAATCATTGTGACAGAAACTATATGGCACACAACGCCTGAGTATTTACTGTTGACCCCTTTATTAGAATCATCAGAACCGATGATCTGACAAATGTTCGCCTAGCCTAAAAGTCCACCTGCCCTGGCACGTGAACTACTAAACACAGTGAAAGAGAAATCTTCCCCAATGCATTCAAGTAGAAACCCACACAAAACCACCTCTGCTAACTCATACAAAGTCATATCACTGACAATCTGAATTAAAAACTAAACTTCAAAAGCAAATGGTGAATTTAGTTCTCTTAATCTTTTAAAACTGTGCCACATTAAAATCCACATACAAGTTCAATGTACTTTTATTGTCACTTGTACTTAGTTAAGCACCACCAGGAACCCTATTAGTTGTTCCTATATGCCTTACAATGGCATCCGAGAACCCACACACCATGAACTCGGTAAACTAAGTAGGACGTAGTCTTTGTAAAAGTTTGTTTCACCTGCCATGACAGACAAAGACTGGGATGGTAAGTGAAGCACCCAAAATCTCTTCTGGATGTATCCAGTCTCTTCTATGCTTACTGGCCTAAAAAAATCACGAAGCTGCTGTATCAGTCATATAAAAAATTATGCCCAACTTAGTCCTGTTGGATATACTTGCCATTCTTAGAATAAGAGAAAAGACAAGCTAGTATTTTTATTTGCTGTTAGTTATATTTAACAACCGAAGTCTACCAAATGATTACATTTTTACATATCATTCCTAACAAAACTGAGTCAAATTAATACAGAAATTGATAAACCATTTATTTACCAATTATTCTTTTCCTCCAGTTAACAAAATAGGAAATAGTGCAAATTCTTAAATATGGTCAACTCGTGAATAGCCCTGCATGATATATGTATCTAAGGCGTGTTTCTACCACCCCTAAGTGCTTAACCAAAGACGCATCAACAACCTGGTACCCTTGACGATATCAATGCAGCCGCAGGTTGTAAGTTTATGTTAACATAAAGCTAAATTAAGCATTTTGTAAGGCCAACATGATGTCAATAAAATCATGACAAAGTCAAATTAGGGATTTTGCAGTTATGCACAGCATTTCCCCCTTCATCTCTGGTGTTTCTCCTGACTATTCTGGATGAAAAGACAAGGGGAAAATATTTAAAAGTACAATCAAGTGACAACCAGTTTACCACAGACGACAAGATTTACACAGAAGTCTGAATTTCTGCTATTGTAGAAGAATTAAGTCAGATCTTGATCCTATTTCTCACCTGAAGGATATTGGCAAGACAAAATCCTAAGGAACCTTCCAATCTAAAGATTTTCCTCAAGGCTCAGTTTTCTCCTGAAGTTCATTTACAGAAGGTACCAATGTGAGAAGGAGTAAGCACGAGAGGGCCTGAACTTTAGCGGGTAGCCTGATGAGAAAACGGAAACCCCGCGGAGTCCTTAACTTCCTTTGCTTTTCTAGTCCTGGTCTTCTCTGTGAAAAATCCCGAAAAGCAGAACTTCCTTCTCCCTGCCAGCCTCTACCTGAGGCCTGATGCAGAATTTCAGACCGCTAGTTTACCCAAGTATCTTCGTAAGGTAGTCTTAAGGCTCAAGCCCGCTCAGAAACAGCGAAAGGTTTACTTTCTTGGGTTAAAGAAGGGCCATTACAGGGTTTGGCGGCTGGGTTTGTCAGGAAGCCTAGGGCCGAGAAAGAGGGAGAATCGAGAGACCGGGCTCCTTCTAGTCCCAGGAACCACCCCCAGGGACGGCTGGACTACCTCGGTACTTCCCTGCCTCCTCTGATCGGGCGGGGAGAGCGGCGGGTCGGGGTCAGGCTCCCCTGAGCTACTTCCTGGTCCGATCGGACTCCCCTTCGGACACCCGAAACGCCCCCAGCCCGGCACCCTCGCCCTTTGCCCTGTCTCCTCCCCTCTCAGTGTCCCACCACCACAGGTCCCCTCCCATCTAACATGGCCGCAACACCCGTCCCACCCCCAATACAACCGAACAAATTGGGACACCCATACACCGCCCCCCCCAGGCCCATTGGCTACGCTGCCTCCACCCGCCTTCTCCATTGGACAGCACGGCCTGCCACTCCACACCGAGAGCTCCGCCCCCGATCCTCTTCAAGCTGCTTTGAGAAGACATATAAACAAATCCCCGGAGAGAGGCCCCTCTTGCCTGTCGCTGGGGCGGGGACGGAAAGGGGGAGCGGCTACCCCCGAGGCACCCCTGCTTGTACCCCCCCAGCCCCAGCCAGCGCCTCCTCGACTCCTGCCAGCCTAGTTACAACCTTCTTGGCCCCGGCCGTTCCTCACACGCCCCTCTCTCTCTCCTCCTCCTCCCCCGCCAGCCTTGCCTACCCTCCCTTCCCCGGCCCCTCCCACCCGCTCGCTTCTCTGACAGGCCGGTTGCCGGCAGCCACGGCCCCGGGCTCCGAGGCAGCGGCGAAGGGCCGGGCAGCCCGGCAGGGCGGACGCCCGGCACTGCCCACCCCTGACCTAGCCTGCTTCCCGCCCGTGGGCCCCTTCTACCGCCGCCCCGCGCTTTTATATAACCGTCCGGGGCCAGGGGTGGGGTGGGGGAGGGGAGGCCGGAGCCCCCGTGACCGGCGGCAGCCTGCGGCCCGCGTGCCCCCAGACTCTGCCCTGGTCCCGGCCCCCGCCCCGCGCCGGCCCGGCCCAGAGCTCCAGCGCTGCTGCCTCCTAGGCCAGCGGCCCTCCTCCGCCCCCCAGCCGGCTTGTCTTCCAGCCCAGGCCCCTGCGGGCTCCGGGCGGGAGGCAGCGGCGCTCACCTGTGCTTGTGGGGCGGCTCAGGGACTGGGTCTGGTTCTGCTGCAGGGGCCGCGGCCCCTCTCCATGCTGCCTCGGGTTTGTTTTGTTTATGTCCTTCCTGACGGGTTCCCGGAAATCGCGTGACTCGCCCCCCTCACGTGGGCCGCGGCGAGGAGGTGGAGGGAGGCGGGGGCCCGCCGGCTTCGGGCCAATCACGAGGCATTCTGCAGCCCCGCCAATCAGAAGCTCCGCCTGGAAGGGCACCCCTATCACGTGATACCGGAGGGGCGGGTTGCCGGGAAAAACCCGGAAGAGGGGGCGGAGCGGGGGCTTAGCGCCTGCGAATGCAGCGTGGGCGAGGGTCGTCTCAGATATCCAGGCACACTCATGTTGTGGAGTGTGTTCCTTTACAAAGGCTTTTCCGTCCCCCAGCGTTGTCTCTGATCTCACAACTACGCGGTAGGGTCTGAAGTGTCGGCGTGTCCATTTTCAGTTTAAGTTCACTGAAACTTGAAGGGGTCTGCGGGAAAAGAGGGTATTTTAATTTGAGAGGCTGTATCGACTTTGTTTTTATGAATGGCCTATCCATCTGAACGTCTTAGTTCACAGAGACTGACGTTGCCTTTAGTCATTTTTTCGTTCATTCACTCAACTAATATTCATTGCGCACGTATGCCCCAGACGCAGGGATGTGTGCATTTTTAAGAGAAGACCTGTACACAACTTCAAACCTCCGTAGTACATGGGCTTGAGGTTTTCTTGTGCTCCCTGATTCTATCAATAACAACAGCGATGCTTTATTATTGAACGTGTGCTCTGGGATGGGCTTATCACCTCATTCCGTTATCCTTACAAGCACATGCAATGGTAATAAACCAATTTTCAGAGGGGGAAATGAAAGCTCAGAAGTGTCAAGTTACTTGGTTAAGGTCAGGGAGCTAGTAAATGACCCAGC